TTTTGGCAGTTTCTCAAAAAGCTAAACATAGAACTACTATACTAAAACCAAAAGCACTGCCATCAAGTTGCTTCTGACTCAGCGACCCTCTAGGTTTCCGATGCAATCTTTACATAAGTAGATTGCTCAGTCTTCCTTCCACAGAGTGGATGGTGGGTTTGAACCACCAACCTCCCGGTTCACAGTCAAGTGCATTCAACACTATGCCAGCAGAGCTACTTTAGAACTACCATATCACACACCAATTCCACTTCTAAGTATATACCAGTGGTGGTTATGTTTGTGTGTCAACTTGGCTGGGCCTGGTTGAGTGGCTGGGTAACTGGTGGTAGTTATTCCCCACGATGAGACTGGCAATCAACTCCATGGTGGGATCTACCACAAGAAGCTGAGTAGCTGCTTTGGGTATGTGGTCTGCTTCCCGTAAATAAGAAGCAGCTTTGAGAATGGTCTCTAGTATATGGCACGCTTGGACCCTGCATGTAGCCGTGTCATTGCTCAGCAGCCTGCTATGCTCTGCCTACCTTGGGACTTACAATGGACTTAAATTAACGGCCTGCCGTGTAGTTTGGTAACATCAAGACTATGCTTTTTTACTTGTCAACCTTGGGTTTGTCAGCCTCAGCAGCCAGCAGCTGTCTGAGTGAAGAAATGCCTCTAGTTCCAGCGGGCCGGGAGCAGGAAGCAGAGCTGGACTCCAAGGTTGAAGGGCTTTCATCCAGCCCCTAGAGCCTGGCACTTTGAACTTGGACTTAACTGTAAGAGAGTAAACTCCTGTTTGTTAAAATCATCCCATTTGTGGTATATTCTTGTCAGAGCGGCTCTAGGTAACCAGAACAATACCCAAAAGAACTGAAAGCAGGAACACAAACAGAAACTTTTGCAGCAATGTTCACTGCAGTATTGTTCAGAACAGCTAAAAGATGGAAACAACCTAAAAGTCATTCAACAGATGAATGGATAAACACAAAATGGTACATACAATGGAATACCACTGAGCCATAAAGAGAACTGGATTAATTCTTAAGATCATTATGTTGAATGAAATTAATCAGTAACAAAAGGACAAATATTGTATGATACCACTTATATGAAATAGGCAAATAAATAGAGGCTAAAATTCATTTGCTTACCAGGGGTGGGAAAAAGGGAGAAAGGGGTGTCCTAGCTTAGGGGGCACTGAGTTTCTGTTAATGATGGTGAAATAATTTGGAAACAGTTAGTGGTCATGGTTGTAGAACAGGGTGAATGTAACCAATGACACTGAATTGCACATGTGAAAATTGTTGAATTGGAAAATGTTTTGCTATGTATATTTTACCACAATGAAACAATTGAAAATTAAAAAAAAAAAAAAAAGGCCAACTAAAAGACTAGCCTCTCTCCACCTTTTGTAAGCAGAGGGCAGATGTGAGGCCAGTATATCTGCAGAAGTTTCTAATGATTAAAACTCTTTGCAAGGAATAAAACGACAGTCAGTGGAGATGTTCTAGAAAAAGCACAGCCAACATAGCAAGATGTGGTCAGAAGAAATAACCAGCAGAAGAGCGAGTAGAAGACCCCACCAACAGGATGTCTGCAAGTAACTTCCAGCCCAAGGACTCCACTATGTTTCCTGTCTTTTCACAGGGCCCAACTACGCCATCAGCCCTTATGGAGCAGTCAATATGTGCTTTACTGAGTGAATCAAGTCATTAAATGGGTCAGCTCAGATACACTGAAGAGATTCTTGACTCATCTTGCCCTCACGCCCACCTTCAATCCACCAGCAAGGCCAGCAGCTCCGTATATCTTCAGCTTATACCTTGACCCAGACCAGTGCTCACTACCACCACTGCTCCCTTTCCAGTTCAAACCACCAACGTGTCCTGATCTCTTTCTGCTGTGGTAGTTTCTTAACTAGTCTCTCCTGCACTCTTGCCCACTCCCAATCCTCCAATTCTCAAAATCGAGGATAGAGAAGTCTGTATACATCCCTTCCTTGTGTAAGACTTCCCAATGATTCTCTGGCACGCTTACTACAAAGGCCAAACACCTTACCATAACAAGAAAGATGCAGCTTCTGTCTGCCCCTCCGGCATCATTTCCCACCATTTTCCGCCTGGTGACCTCTGCCCACATCCACACGAGTCCTGCCTATCCCTCAATTTGACAAATTCAGGGTCCCACCTTTGCACCTGCTGTTCCCTCTGCGAGGAACGTTCTTCCTCCAGATCTCCCCATGGCTGGTTTCTCCCTCTTTTCAAGTCTGGCCTCAAACATCCTCTCCTGGGAAAGATTTTGCCTGACCATGCCCTCCTCCAGCTCTCACACGTACCTGTTTCATCATTTTTACATCTTCCATCCCTGTGGGTCTCTTATCTGTTCCCCCAGAACGAGAGTGCCCCGAGAGCACAGCCCACGCCTCCCTCGTAGCTGTACCCTCAGCATATATAGCCAGCGAGCCCTTTCCCCGCGGGCAGCCAAGGCCGACCCTAGGATTGTGAGTTATTGTCCCGAATCCTAGAACCCTTGTCTGTTTTCCACGGGCTCCGCTGCCCGATCGGGCCTGTACCTTCTTCCAGTGGCTCCAGGCCTGTCCCGTAACTGACTAGATCCTCATCAGTGTCACTGTCCAGCGCCGCCATTTTGCTCCCCTTGGGCCCCGCCCCCTCACTACGGCGGCCTCAACGGGCAAAAACCCTTTCTCCTTCGCGAAGGAAAATGTGCTCTACGGCTAAAGCCGGCAGGTCTAAAGTAGGCTGCTGGACCCAGCAGGTTGCTGCGGCCTCGCGCCTTGAATCAGTGCCTGCGAGTTGTTGTGTGCAGCCCGGCAGGAGTTCTTGACGTGTCCTAGCTCTGAACTGTGGGAGTCAGGAGGAGGTGTTTAGGAAAGGATTACCTCGCTTTGCGGCCGTGGAGCTAGTTCCGTGTGATGTGACACGCGTTACTCGGCCACCGCCCCCAGCCCCTGCCCTTCCCCTGGTAGCAAGCAGCTAGTTGTAGCCTTACCAGCCGGCTGGTGGGCCGGCAAAGTCCCTGTGCTTCCAGGTATTCACGTTCGCCCCGCTGTTGTTTCACTTATTGGTGGAAATTAAAACCAGAGGGGAATGCATTACGTATACATTAAAAAAAAAAAAAAACCTAAACCACCATGCTTTTACATTTATATATATGTGTGTGTGTGTGTGTGTGTATGTATGTATGATAATATGTACACACACAAGGTGTGTGTGTTTGGCTGCTAATCAGAAAGTCAGTGGTTCGAACCCACCAGTTGCTCCGCGGAAGAAAAACGAGGAGTCCGCTTCTATGAAAGATTTACTGCTTTGGAAACCCTAAGGGGGTCGCTGTGTGTCAGAATCAATTTAATGGCAGTGAGCTTGTTTTTTTTGGTATAAACGTAGATACATAGGAGTGTCACTGGGTGGCGCAAACAGTTAAGCACGAATCTACGAGCTGAAAGTTTAGCAGTTGAAACCTACTCAGAGGCGCCTGGGGACCTGCTTCTCAAAGGTCACAACCTTGAAAACCCTATGTCGCCCTTATGCTCTGCGCACAAGGCATCGCCAAGAGTCAGAATGGGCTGGATGGCAACTAAAAACATCCCACTGGAAGCTGTTGGTTTCTTAAGATTCAATAAGGAAGCCCCCTGTGTCTCCATCCCCATCCACAGCAGCCCTTCACATGTCTGCTTGCTTTTTCTCTTCTCTTTTTCATTTTCATTCTTCTTTTTTAGGTTTTCTTTCTTTATTCCTGTTTTCCCCTTGCCTTTTTTCCTCCCTCCCTTTCTTTCATTTTCTCCTTTCTTTTTCTCTTTGACCGTTTTTTTTCCCTCATAGATTACATTTGCATTCATTTGTAATATGATTGTACGGTTTGAATTTTTGTTTTTAACTACATCTATAGTTCATTATTTCCAAAACATTTTTATGTCAGTAGCTTAGTTTTCATTTTAAACGTTTTTGTATTTATTACAAATGAATGCAAATGCTGCTATTAAAAGTAAAGAAGATTGAGGGTGAATCCATATACCAGACAAACCATGAAAGTCCATGATTTTATTTCTAAGTAACCCCAACTCATTTTCTTACAGTTTACAGCTTTTAAAGGAGCAAGGAAAACCCAGTAAGTATATTATCGATCGTTTCACCTAGTCAGATTCCTAACAATCACAAGCATTTGGTAAAGAAGTAACCACCCCATAGACTTCTGAGTAGCCTCAGCTGACTCCTGGGAGTCTTTGGGACTACCCAGTGTTTCACCAATGACCCTGAGCCCTAACAACCTAGAAACAATAGCAACTTAAGCACCACATGCCTTTCCTTTCTTAGTCAGATTTGCAAATGACCAAATCTCATGACCTTATCGGGGGAAACTAGAGATAGGCAGATGGGCTGAGTCACCCAGGTAGGGAGTCATTTCTTCTTCATAATCTGCAATTCATTGCTGAGATATGATGGCCATTCATGACATGCAAAGAAACCCTCTCTATGTGCTTGAGAATCGTTGTCACTCATTATGCTCTTCATTTTGTTTTGTTTTTTAAAATTGAACTTTAACGTATGTACAGAAAAGTACACAAATCACAAGCATATAGTTTCATGTATTTTTACAAAATTTACAGACCATTTCAACAGCATGCAGATCAAGAAGTAGAAAATGTCCAGAACCCCAGAAGTAGCCCCTGCATGAACTACTTTTGGCTGTTTTATGTTGTTGTTGTTGTTGTTGTTATTTGCTGTCCAGTCAGCCCTGACTCATAGCGACCCCTCCTTGGGTTTTCGAGGCAGTGTCACTACGGAAGTAGGATTGCCCAACCTTCCTTCCGAGGAGTGGCTGGTGG